TTTAGACCAACTTTGTACGACAAAGTTAAATTTCCGAAGAGAAACCAGCTGAAAAATAAATTTGCACAAAACTTCCCAAATTCCAACAAAAACGATAATTTTGAGCTGAAAAGATACTTAGCGCGTTTAGTTAGCGAGAAAAACACGTTTGTGATGTTTAGACCAACTTTGTACGACAAAGTTAAATTTGCGAAGAGAAACCAGCTGAAAAATAAATTTGCACAAAACTTCCTAAATTCCAACAAAAACGACGATTTTGAGCTGAAAAGATACTTAGTGCGTTTAGTTAGCGAGAAAAACACGTTTGTGAAGTTTACACCAACTTTGTACGACAAAGTGAAATTTCCGAAGAAAAACCAGCTGAAAAATAAATTTGCACAAAACTTCCCAAATTCCAACAAAAACGACGATTTTGAGTTGAAAATATACTTAGCGCGTTTAGTTAGCGAGAAAAACACGTTTGTGGTGTTTAGACCAACTTTGTACGACAAAGTGAAATTTCCGAAGAAAAACCAGCTGAAAAATAAATTTGCACAAATCTTTGAGCTGTTGAAACAGTGAAAACGAAGCAAAACTCACCTGATAATCGAGTGAGTGGCCATAATAAAGTCCGTATCACAGCTGCTGTGTGGGTTCGTCTTGAAAAACTTGGACTTAGTCTGTACGGTCACTAACTTATCGGGAGCCACCTGGATGCGATAGACCGAACTGATTGAGGAACCCGAATTGAGCGTCTCTTTGATATGCGCGGTGATCTTGTGAACGTCCTGAGCGGGCACAAAGTCGCGCAGCACGCGACCCTTGAAGTCTTTGCGCAGCAATTGCGAAATCGGCTCGGAAACGCCCGAAGTGTCCACGCAGATGATTTTGCCCGACGTGTCAAGTTTGGTGGTGAACTGTTCGAAGTAGCACGCCCCCTTTTCACGCTGCGAAATCCTGCTGGCCACGCAAAGCAGGCAGGGTCCGTTGTCGCTTCCGTCGTCCTCAGATACGGACAGCTGATCCCGTAGCAGGGTGGAGGAGATGTGCATCAACTCGTAGCAGGCCTCCTAAACGACCAATCAAACCCGTTAAACCTACACGCAAGTGCCCGATTGGACGCACGTACTCTTTGACTCTTCTGCTCTAGCGTCTCATCCAGATCATCCGGCTTGATCAGCAATCGAACATCGATGGATTTGGATCGGGTGGGCGCTTGCAGCTCGTTGCCCCACTCGATGGTCATCGGCAGAAGATTGGAATGGAACTTCGTGTGATCGCCCAGGTGCATAAAATTGTAGATGCTCTTCCCTATGAGATCCTCCTTGGTGTATCGCAGGTAGGTGTCCACGTTCTCCGTCACATGCTCTACCTGCATTGCACAAACCGTTAAGACACCGGTACTCCCGAGCAGAAGTGACCGATGGACTCACCCTTCCCTCGCTGTTTATCACGAAGAGGAAGCCCTCCAAGGCCTCTAGAAGCAGCGGCCCGTAGATCTCGTTGGAGAGGATTGTGGGCCGCGACGAGGAGACTTCGCCCTGCTGCACAGGATCGGCGTTCTGTTGATTGGCGGAGTCCTGTTATTCGTTTTATGTCCCCTTTAGATTTGGCTGCGCCCCATCAAACCACCCTTTTCTCCTTACCTGTTGCTTGATGCGGCGTATTTGATTGACCGTTTCTTGCAGGATGGCACACTTGTCCGGCTTGACGGAGAGCGAGCTCATGTCCGCAAAATTGGCGGAAATCAGCTCGGCCAGCTCCTCTATGTAGATGTTTTCTTGCTCTCGGCGTCGCTTTTCATTGTTGCACTTGTTGCTGCAAAAGAACGAAATCTTAGCGGCACGCCACTGGATCTTTGGCCGAATTCTTCTTCCATCTGCCCGCTTAATTACCGCGATAAATGTCTTCATTATATGAGGCCACTCGAATGTATACATTGTTGTGACTGTTGTGCACTTGGTTCGGACGCAGAAGTTTTCACTTTTTCGGTGCTTTAAATGGTGAATCAATCACACTGTATAATGAACATTTGAAGGCGGTTTTCCGTTAGTTCATGTACGGGTGATTGTGAAAAAGTCTTTCGCTAAAAGCTCAATTTTTACAGCGCCAAACGCATCACAATAACCCACATTTTGACGATGAAACGTTAGAAAATTGCAAGGCGAAGAAGGTGAAAATAACTGATGAAACGAAAAGCCAGCAGCAGGGCAGCAGGAAATGAACAAAAAAAAAGCGACAATAAAAATCCACTCATCGAAACGCATTTAATGGTGCACAAAATGAACAATGCCAATGGAAAAAAGCAACAGAAAATGGACGAGATGATAAAAGACAGTCGAGATTCCTTAGAAAATAAACGAAATAAGAAAGCCGACATCTCAAGACAGTCATTAATGATGTAAATAAAGAAAGACAATGAAAAGATGCAAAAACAAACTAAAATGCGACAATCTAACAAAAATTGAGAAAATCAACACCCGTAAATAGTTGAGCAAAGCAAAAAACCGTCAATAAAAAGTTGATTCAAGAGAAAGCTGAAGATGAAGGCTCAAATGAAAGAAGACTATTCAAACAATGAAGTCAAAGTCATAAAAACCTGACAAGGAAATGAACATTTAAAGATGTTGGACACATTGAAAGAGGCTATAAAATCTTATCAAACCGCAGTTCAATTTGGGAAAAATAAGACAGTAAAAAGTGGACAATGCGGGGAAACAAATTCGACAAGAAAACGATCAACCGAAGACAGCAGATGATGAACCAAATAAAGAACGACAATGAAAAAAACATCCAAATACAGCAAAAAGATAAGGAACAAACTAAATGGAGACAATGTAAAAAATGGGAGAATAACAATATGACTGAAAAGAAAGCTGAACAAGATCATGGCTCAAATGAAAAAAGGCTGAAAAGAAAGCTGAGGAAGATAAAGCAAGCAATCACAAATTGATGAAGTCAAAGTCATAAAAAAATCCACAATGAAATGAAATTTAAAAGATGCAGTACGCAGTGAAAGAGGCACTAAAATCTTATCAAAACGCAGTTCAATTTGGGAAAAATAAGACAGTAAAAACTGGACAATGAGGGGAAATAAAATCGACAAGAAAACGGTCAACCGAAGACAGTAAATGATGAACCAAATAAAGAACGAGAATGAAAAACTCATCCAAACACAGCAAAAAGATAAGGAACAAACTAAATGCAGACAATGTAAAAAATGGATAAAATCAACAACCGTAAATGGTTGAGCACAGAAAAAGACAATGAAAAGATGACTGAAAAGAAAGCTGAAGATCATTTCTCAAATGAAAGAAGACAAAGCAAACAATGACAAATTGATGAAGTCAAAGTCATAAAAAAATGCACAACGAAATGAAAATCAAAAGATGCAGTACGCATTGAAAGAGGCACTAAAATCTTATCAAAACGCAGTTCAATTTGGGAAAAATAAGACAGTCAAAACTGGACAATGAGGGGTAATAAAATCGACAAGAAAACGGTCAACCGAAGACAGTAAATGATGAACCAAATAAAAAACGGGAATTAAAAAGTCATCCAAACACAGCAAAAAGATAAGGGACAAACTAAATGGAGACAATGTAAAAAAATGGAGAAAATCAACAACCGTAAATGGTCGAGCAAAGAAAAAGACAATAAAAAGATGACTGAAAAGAAAGCTGAAGATCATGGCTCAAATGAAAGAAGACAAAGCAAACAATGACAAATTGATGAAGTCAAAGTCATAAAAAATTGCACAATAAAATGAAAATTAAAAAATGGAGTACGCATTGAGAGTCACTAAAATCTCATCAAAACGCAGTTCAATTTGGGAAAAATAAGACAGTAAAAACTGGACAATGAGGGGAATTAAAATCGGCAAGAAAACGGTCAACCGAAGACAGTAAATGATGAACCAAATAAAAAACGAGAATTAAAAAGTCATCCAAACACAGCAAAAAGATAAGGGACAAACTAAATGGAGACAATGTAAAAAAATGGATAAAATCAACAACCGTAAATGGTTGAGCACAGAAACAAAGACAATAAAAAGATAACTGAAAAGAAAGCTGAAGAAGATCATGGCTCAAATGAAAAAAGACAAAGCAAGCAATGACAAATTGGTTAAGTCAAGTCAAAGTTATAAAACAATGGACAATGAAATGAAAATCAAAAGATGCAGTACACATTGAAAAARGCAATTAAATATTRTCAACACGCAGTTCAATTTGRAAAAAATAGGACAGTAAAAAAGTGGACAATGAGGGGAAATAAAACCGACAAGAAAACGATCAACCACAGACAGCAAATGATGAACCAAATAAAGATCGACAACGAAACATACCATCCAAACACGGCAAAAAGGTAAAAGACGACAGACTAAATGGAGACAATATTTGAATAAATAATGGATCAAATTCAACGACCGTAAATCAATTACAAAACAAGTCACAAAACCAAAATAAAAATWGGATTGATCGAAGAAAAGGCTGAAGAAAATKATGGATCGAATGAAGGAAGACAAKCAAACAATGATAAATTGATAAAATAAAAGACAAAAGATGATAATAAACAAATTATGGAATGGCAATATAACAAGCACGATAAAACTTATACGATATAGCAATATAACAAGCACGAAAAAATTTRGAAAAATGGAAAAGTGATGGACATGAAAGTGAGCAAAAAATKAAAACACATTTGATTGTGAACAACAACAATGGAAAACCCATCTAAAAGCAGTRGAAAATGAGCAAAGYGWATAATCATCGAAAGTCCCTSGATAATGMACGAAATGAGAAAACGATCACTGAAAGACAGAAAATGATAWTATTAAAGAAAGACAAAGAAAAAGCCTTGAAAACAGAGYAARTAATATAGGGGCAATTTAATAGCAAAATATAAATAAAATTGTGCACATTAACGATCRCGAATGTTTGACCACAAAATAAACGACAATAAAAATGAAATAAAAAAAAAGGAATCGAGAATAGAAACAAAATGATCAAGGACAATGATAAGTTCGTTAAAACACAGTTAATGATGGAAAAATCATCTAAAACCAGTAGAAAATGGACGAGATCAAWAGCGAAAGTCGATAAATCATCGAAACACAGTATATGATAAATAATGATCCGAATAAGGAACGACAATGAAAWAGCCACGAAAACACAGCAAGAAGAAAAGGGCTAAAACGGCTAAATGGCGCTAAAATAAACAAAATTTTATCAAATCAATGACAGCAAATGGTCGACCATAGAAGCAGAAAGCGACAAACAAATAGCCAAGATTTACCTCATAGAAAATGAACGAAATGAGACACGAAATCAACGAAGCGCAGCTGATGATCAACAAAGTGAAAAACGACAATAAAAAGTTCAGCTGAAAACACTAATAAATGGACGCAAGAAAAAGCCACCATGAAAAAGCAACGAAAGACAGCAGAAAATCAACGAAAGTACGGAAGTACAAAACTGAGTCAAAACGACAATAAAAAATTGATTGAAAAACAGTAAAGTAGAAGTTACGAATAACAATAAAGGCAAGATCTTAAATATCATAATAGTGAAAACGAAAAACTATACCGAAAATATTGTGTAGAGAACAGAAAAGAAAAGGATGGAGAAACATAACCAAAAGATTATTGATAATGGACGAAATAAAAAAACCAGAGCGCACAAAAACCTTATCTGAGAAAAAGAAAGTCAGTAGCAAGTAAACCGAAAAGCGATAATTAAAGGATCAACGAAACATCACTGATGATGAACGAAGAAAAAACGACAACGGAAATATCTACAACCCTTTTAAAGGCAGTAGAAAAGGACGCAACCGAAAATAACACTAAAAAAGTAATTGAAACGCAGTCAATATTAGATAAAACAGTAAAAAGTGATGCAATGAGAAACGACAGTAAACTGACCATCGAAAAAAACAAGAGGAAAAAAGACGGAATGAAAGGATTCAATCAACAGATCACCAAATCACATACCGATGAAAGCCCAAATGAAAACTACAGGGAATTATCCAATCAAAATGGTCAAAAATTAACAAAATAAACAAAGACAATTTAAAAAGAGTTGATGATGGACGGGGTGAAAAACGACATTGAAAGATCATGTAAATACTGTAGAAAAGTAAACAGAAATGAAATCGTTTAAGGTCGAGAGAAAATAGACGAAATCAAAAATTATGAACTGAAATAAAAAATTACTGCGAAAACGTCCAGCAGGCAGTAGAAGATTCAATTCAATAAAATGAAGAATAACAATGGGAAAATGGTTAAAACACAGTTGCAATGAAAAAATTATATCAAATCAGTATAGAACCGACGAAATGGTGAACGGCAATCGAAAAATCACCGAAGTTCATTACAAAGACAGTAAATAATGTAAAGACAAAGCAAGTAAAGATAAATTGATGAAATAAAAGTCAAAGAAGCATGATAAACTGTTACAAAGTTAAGAAGTGATGGACGCGAAAGACATGCACAAAATGAGAAGCGAGAAAAATGGATTTGATGAGACAGAAAATAATCAATGACAATGAGAAGATATCTAAAAACAGTAGAAAATCAATACAATGAAAAGATGATCAAAATACAGTTGACAACCAACGGAATGCAAAACGACATTGGACAGATCGTTAAAACACAGTAGAGAATAAATAGAATGAGAAACGACAATGAAAAAATAACCTAAAACAATAGTAAGTGGAAGAATTTAAAAACGATAATCAAAATATTGTGGAAGCGGAAAGCGACAATAAAAAGATCATCGAAAAATGAAGCAGCTGATGATGAGCAAAATGAAAAACGACAA